AATGTGTTGGCTGACTTGTTAAAATGGTGCTGAATGGAGGAAAAGTAGAGTCAACCACCATTTTTAGTTAGCCGGCCTGTCAATTACATTCAGGAGGAGCGTTGGATTGCACCCTCTTCTTCGTCCAGAAGCAACCTGGACCTATGAACCCTCCTCATTTGTAAAAGTTTGAAAGTAACAAATGTTTGTCATGCCGAACTAACCAGGAGGGCTTCATGTTTCGTTTTGAATGAGTAAAACTTCATAAGGCCACCGTTTCCAATTCAGTCCAACCCACACATAAATTTAATTTTGGTATTCGACACTTTCCTAGAGAGAAAATATATCCGTTTGTGTTCCTCTTCTGTACAATACATGGTCTGTTGTTCTTTCGTTATTGTGTGTGCGTTTCGTGTTTGTGGTGTGCGTCCGGTCCAAAATGATGTAATAATGCACGAGAGGTGTTTCAAATATGTATTGATTGGTTATGAGGGGGTCTACACATTTTGTAAAGTTTCCACCTTATTTTTCATCTTTTATCATGCAAATATAAAATTTCGAAATACTGTAATCGAGATATTGCGAGACAAGGTTAATTCATGAACAATATCAGAATAAATTGCAAATTCTCGTGCAAACCCTGTTTTTGAACGTTGAACCACCATGGGTTGTCCAGTAAGGAACGCCATTGAATTTTCACTACAACCTTTGCCTGCACGATATGTATGATATGATCAAAACTCTGACATGGACACCTCCTCCCTAAAATTTGTCAACACGAGACCTGTCCAACTGTCATGAAGGCATTCTCGTCAATCACCACTAGCATCACCAACCAAATAAATTAATGTGTCTTGATTTTCGATATAAACCAGTTCGTCAAAATAAATTCGATTGGATACATAATGCACACCACTACCCACACACATATCGTTTTAACATGACTCAATGACAAAAAAAACTGGAGACACGTCCCCACAAGGCAGGGTTGGACTGATACACATAGTTCATGCCCAATTTTATTCAAAGTACGAACTGCAGCTATCTAATTTCATGCCACATGTGCCACATTTAATTTCCATCCTTTGTGTCACGAACGACCTGCTGCTCTGAACTAGATCTAAGGGATGCGTACGTACGTTGTACGTATCGCTTACGCAGTCATAAAAATGCAACAAATTTGTGTTCCCTTCGTGGAATACGCTGGTATCATTTCAATATGGGCACGATTCAAAAGCAGTGAATTTTATACCGACTTTAAATTACATGGTGCGTTTTGCTGGAAGGTGGAATATTGTATTGGTTTCATTTCAATACTGGTGGCTTTATAATGGTCACGACACATTCAATAATGACGGATGAAAGAAAACCACCACTCCTCCTCTGCCAGGGAGAATTCGAGGTTAAACTGCGACATGGCCTGTGATCATGCCACTTTGAAATTCATTTCACTCATTTTGAAGTAAATCACCAAAAAATATTGTGAATTTGAAGGTTTCTTTCCTATCCGAACTTATGTAAATAAATACGCAATTCAATCACAAGATAATTTATGTAGCTCGTGCCTAAGAAAATCGATAAAGTAATAGACGAAGAAGAATGAACAGAAATTTGGCTGCCATTCTTCCTTCTTCTCAATCAAAGAAATAGAAATTGACGATAATAGTAAAGTTGTAATGTAACTATGTTGCAGAGCGTGATGGAAAATTTGATTGGCTTCCCTGGACTGATGAGACGTATGGAATCGGCATTGTTCTCATTTTCCTTTAACAGCTACAGTTTATTTAATGAAGCCATCAAACAAATCCCTCCTTCTGGTTGTGCATTTTCTCCTGTGTTACTTATAAAAGTGTGATATGATACGATATGATACAATATATCTCATTTTCAGCAGCACACCAGGCAAAAAATCTATTGACACGTGCACAATTATTTTTCTTTCTTGCTTAGTTAACCAAAACGTGAGGAGCTCATAAAGGTAAATGACTCCATATAATAAATTTCTGAAATGTCTAAATGCAGTAGTGTTCGTTTCGTTGGGGCATTGTTTATTCATCATCCTCGTTACGAGGAACTTGTAATTTTAGTTGTCCCATAATAATTAAATATTAAGTTATTTGACTATTTCTTCCCGTGTATTTAATGAATACGAGACCATACAGAATTCCATATCGTGATGCGATATTTAGCGAATTTTTATGTATGCACACCGGAAAAATTCTTCACAATGGAGTAATTTTTAAACATTGAAATCTCTAAACCACGACATCCTTTTAAGATTACCCTTCACAAAACCAACAGCAATTCCCACCGTAATTATATCCATTTCCATTCCAGCGAGCAATAAATGACCCTTGAAAGTCTGGTCTTATGTACCTTGTTGCATAATAATACGTGATATAATGGGCTGCGAACATTGTTGTGGGTGGTCAATAAAGCATAGAAAGAGATACATTATTTATGAATCCTTCTTCTCACAATGAGTGTGGAATATGGCATTATCATATAATGCAAATGGGAATTAAGCATGAGAGATGACACGGGGAGGCATGATGGAAAACCGGAACTGGACAATTGAGACATTATAATATTATCTATTCGGCTCTCTGCTTGAGTAGAAGAATTCTGGTGAGAACATTACAATTTCGAGTGCGAATTAACTACGAAAATTGAAAAGTTAATGAAACAATGGCATCACTTTTAAAGAAAAATATGAAATCCTGAACTTGAACACAATGGGGAATAAGATCATCGACCACCCAACGAACCATCCATCCATTAAGATTCAATTACCAAAAGTGCCACATATCACAAGTGAAGCCATTCATCCCATATCTTCCTCTTCTCTTACTCCATTATTCAAAAACCCATAAAATAATTCGCATGACACCCAAGATACCATAAATTCATTAGGATCAGTAAAAGAGTTGGGCTGAGCAATAAATAATTTTCAAAAGCTTGTTATTCTCATTCTGCTGCAAAACCATTTACTTTTCACCACGATTCCACTCCGACACTGCAAATTTATTTCTAATCCTATTTGCTATGAACCTCTTGCCTCCCGTCAAATAAATGATATGTATGCTTTTCTAATACTCCCATTGAATGATGTGATGTCCTCTCCCCTGGTAAAAAAGTATGATTTATGTATGGAATTGTCAAGTGATGCGGGTGCAGGGTAAATACATAAGTATGTTTTTAGCCAAGGATAAGCCAGTCCGCCTGTCACAAAAATTCGCAGCTTTTTACCACATTTTTTTAAGAAATGGTGGAGTACTGTTGAATTGATAAATCATATCGTAACTGAGAAGGTGTCATCAACCAGAGGAGATAACGAGAAGATATTTATTTTGTGTGTGATGTGATTTCACACACTTCTTGAAAATACGAGATGTCAATCGGCACAATTGCACTATTTAGTAGTACACGAGATGAGAAATGACTAGGGTTGCCGTTTTTATCCGAGATTATCCTATCCGATCGGATAGGATCGGATAATGTCGGATAGGATGAGCAAAAATACGATTCGGCTATCCGTCGGAGAGGATAATTTTTTCAAATTATCCGACGGATATCGGATAATTTTGAAATGACGAGTTACGTGTAATTTGTGCACGTTGTATGTGCGAAAGTAAAGTAAATATTTCATCTCCAATTGTATTTCATTATCAGCCAGGATATATTTAAGTAATTCCAGACAAATCTTAGTAAAGCTAGCAGGTGTAAAATTATTACCATGTCAGACACAAAACGGTTCCATTTGTGGTAATATAAGGTTATTTTCCCATTGCTTAGAGAATCAATCTAGTTCTGTGGGTGCTTTGACGTAATTAAGTTGAATATTGACATTGTGTATTAAATTGAACTGATTACATACTGCGTAGTGCGTATCATACCTATTCAAAATAATAAAGAAAAGTGGAGACTTACGGAAAGACGTTTGTCAAATACATACATACGTATCACTTCTAATTCCTACAACTCCCTTAGTAGTTCAGTCTGCTCAGCTCACTTGACATATTTAATTTTAATAGAGCATATGTATGTAAATTGAATACCCGACAATTGTTGGCATTATTTAAAATTTTTGTGTTTTTTCCTAATTAATTTTATTATCCTATCCTATCCGTCGGATATCCGACGGATATCGGATAGGATAATATTTCTGAAATTATCCGACTCGGATTATCCGAACAGTGGACTTATCCGATTGGATAAAAATTATTTTTATCCTATCCTATCCTATCCGATCGGATGGCAACCCTAGAAATGACTGACGAGTTTGCAACTAAGAAGTACCAAACTTTTCAACTGTTGTGAAATCCATTAATTTTCTATTCAGCTCTGAAAACATTCCCACATTCATTAAATTCTTGTCATTTATTTATGTATTTAAAAGGAGTAGAAATTACTTAGGGCATTTTTTTCTGGTGAAAAGCAACTTCTCAAAATTTCGAAGCTAAATAAGAAGAACAATTTCGGCGAGCAATCTGAGATACTTATCATTACAAATAAAGCAAACCTTCAGTTCACCTAACAGACTGACTGACTGAGTTCATCACTAATGACGTCCAAATTAAATGAGGTGAGGGTGAACTCGGCAGAATTATGACGGATCAAAAGAAATTTATTATGATGAGAAAAATAGTGGATAGATGGATGGATAATGATTACTTTCCGTGGGAGTTGCAGGTAAGTAATTTGCTGCACCAAGTTCAAATAGGTTTTAATTGCTGTACAAATGTACGGTTTGCCGTCGCAATTATCTATTTATCTTGGCTAACGCTACAGACAGACATTAATGAAAAATTGCTTTTAACAGAAAACTAAAAATTTTAGATTAGAGACAATAAATGCATGTTTTTTATAAATCTTCCAGATTGCACATATTTTGCCACCATAAAAATATCATTATGGATAATTCTGTATTTTTTGTGGAGTACACATGAATAAGAATTGTTTTTTCTTAAACTCATGGCCTACATGACTTCACTATAAAATTACAAAAACCCGTAACTTACCGAGTGCATGACATTGAAGAATTTTCGTGCGACCCTCACTCACAATGCTTCCGGCTGCAGAGGGCTGCGTTATAAAACGGGGGGCCTGGAGATGACTATTTTCTCCAGAGGCGGATACACCTGAAAAATTAAAATAAAATAACAATGACCATCAAGTTATACATACAAATTTTTCACAATATTGACTTTTAAGCAGCAGCATAACAATAACATAATCATTCAGTAACTAGTCGAGCAGTTATGAGAAATGCCTTTAACATATGGAGCCATCAGACAGGAAAATATCACATTTTCCGTCACATTGCATTAAATGAGATTTCATGAGACATGAAGCAAAATGAGATTTTACAAGATCTCCAAGAAGAAGAGATTACTTTTATTATTGAGATTACCACAGTCCAACAACTTCTAGTTTAACAATGCTCAATAATGTGAAACCTCCAGTCACGCCAGACTTTTTGAACTATGTATGATGGCGTTTCGAGTGTGAGAAAATTGCCACGCAAAACTATTCACTCACATGCACCCGGTAATCATTTCCATTTCTCGTTTGTATTATTTCTCAGGTTATTTAACCAGTGTGTGCATACATATGTGTCGTCTCATGTCTTCTTCATGACGACGTGGACGTATGCATGTTGCCATTTGAACAGGTTAAGTACAAAGTGCAGCAGAGGATTACGCAGAAATGAGAACTTTAAAACCAACCAGCCAACCTTCGACGTTTTTCGTAATTACAGTGGAGCTCTGGCGAGTCTTCTTCGAGCTCGGCAAAAGTTTTTAAAGATGCAATCCAAAAGTATTTCGTTTTGTAAAATCATTTCGAAATAATGTTGCTTCGAGGGACTGCAGTTGTCATTACTAAAATTTCAACTTAATCATTCATACTTTGGTTTTCCTTTAGCGGATTGAATCATCGACATGAATGTTAACTGGTTGGTTGGTTAGTGCTGATTTCTGATCAATTACTCATCGTGGTGTCAGATATTCGAATTTTTAAGCCGATAAATACCATTGTATAAGCATTTTTGTGACTTTAGCTATCGGATAAATACCATTTATGTATGTACGTATACAATTACTAATGCGAAATAATCCGACTTTTGTCTCATTTTGCTAACAAGATTGAAGCCAGCAAAAAATATTTTAGATTCGAACTATTGATAGGAATTATTATGTGACACGTTATTGGACTTGATGCCCAGAAATGTTATTGAAAAAATGGATGGTGTCTATTACCCCGTGGCAAAAGTGCTTATCTTTCATCATCTCGTTATAAAACACATTTAGATTTGTATGAAAATTAGTTGCACTTTCTTTCTGCATATTTTAGATAACTTTGTATGTAGATAAGATGCGTTTTATTTGCAAGTGTAATAAAATTACTTGAGATTCATGACAATCATAAAGTTCGCTGCGGGGGTGACGCCAGAAAGAAGACGCTTGCCACACAACAAAATTAACAAGCAACCAAATTCGGTTTTCCAGAATTTAGACTGAATGAATTGCATGTTCCTTTTCCTCCAGGAAAATTTACGGCTTTTCCATAATCTTTTAAAACAACAAGGAAATAGCATACTCATTATCGAATTTGGCCTAGAGATATTTATATTTTGTAAAGTTTCTTCAAATTTGTTGTAGAATGTATGTTGCTCAAGATTTACGGCGTGGCAGTAACTACAAAGATTATGATAATCTAAATTCTCAACAACATTAGTTACACACCTCCGAGTCCGAGTGCTTGTCATCTAATTCAAAGTTTAAAGTTCATGACCATAGGTGATTCTTAATCTTGAGTAGAATCGCACAAATGGAGCGATCCCTTGATTCTCTGATTTATTGAATTCTTTCAATTTCGGTTCGCCAGTCGCTGATGAGCACGTAGCTTCGAACTTGTTAACCACAACAACACCCTCGTTCAACAGTGCATACTTAATCAAAGAGCACAAAACCTAACCGACGAGAAAAGTCGAGGCATTCATAAACTTTTAAAAATCGACCAGCCCAACCTATACCTGACACCTTTTAATTGTTTTATGCAATTCCATGAATTTCTGACCATATTGAAATGAAAACCGTTGTTTTTTCTATAGCAGAGGTGAATTTGCTCTCTGATTTTATTGCATGCGTATTTTCAACGTCTATTAGTAAATTAGGATAAATACCTATTTAAAATAAAGTTTCGTTCAGATTTTTAAGGGTCAAATCATGAGCATTTTCCAACATTTCGTTATTTATTTAGTAGATAAATATTTTTCTATTATGAAAATGTACTCGGCCAGCCAGTTCCCGTCTTCGTTTCTTCGGAAGTAAGTATGCTGCATGGTTCGCCTCATTGTTTCCTGCATTGCATGACAATTGTCCAACTAATATTTATCTGTGCATTCAAAATGCGTGCTGCCATTACTTTTTGCCTTGTCTGTCTGATTTTTAAACTAAATTTTGCCATTTGAATTCATCCTGTCAATGTCAGCCATTGCACTGCATGGCGTTGTTGGTAGTCCTGTCTGTCTATTTTTCCGTGGGATGTTATGTATGTTACGTGGTTGACTTGACTGCTGACCATCTGTACAAACTTTTAAGCTCAATCGAAAGAAATAAGAAGTGAATCGTTTTACTTAGCTTATCTTCTTCTATATTCATACATACTGCATAATATATTAGTATCTTGTAGGTTAGGTTATGTTGATCAGTAAAGTTAACTGCGGAGGTGAAATAATGTTGTCAAACGGGTATCATGATGATGATAATGGTCATGAATTTCGTACAAAGATAATGATGCAATAGATGTATGTACACACATAAATATGTAGCGATACCCCTAGAGTAAGGCCCCTTGGGCTGAATTTGATAACTATTTATCTATCTAGCTGGTTGATGATTGTTGGTATTTGGTAGCAATTATTTATGAGGACGCTTATTAAATCCAGGCTCAAATGATACCCTCACTCGCAAATAAGTAGTAATCAGCAAAAGGATTTTTTACTTTCCATCAAAGTGAATTTAATGTCACATACAATCTTTCAATTCGGATGTCACGACACGATGGGCAAGTTAAATGACCACGAATTAAAGGGGACAACGCATTTGTTATCTTTGTTGCTGGTGGTTGGTTGATCAAGTCAAATGTCAATTTTGTGTATGTAGTAGTTGCTCTGCTGCCGAGTGCCGATGAATGATGGGATGTGATCAGTGAGAAATGATTCAATCTTTCACATCATCAATCCAATTTAAACCTGATTTTGTGAATTTGGGTGAAACGGGAGTTAAATCATTAAATCAGATCAAAAACTGTGTTGTTGTACATATATCGTAACAGAAGAGATCAAATTTTTAATCTGAGGTGCTGTTTGTTGTGTGTGTGGAGTGGAGATTGCATAGTTTACAATTTCTTTTTTGGAATTGGCAGGTCAGGTTTTCCTTCGTCAATTAAGTTCAAAGGCTTGTCTGACTATCTCATCATCATCATTCTACAAAACTCACCCGACTAAAAACCATGAGTGACCAGAATCAGAGTGGCATAAACGAAAAGAAATGAAGCACAGTAATTGGTTTACTTTTATTACTTGTTTCTTCTTGGTCCTGGTCTAAATTTCAATTACTGCATAACATCCTACGACAAGGTGGATTATAAAATTTACGAAAAAATTTAGACCCAGTGGGCTTTGTAAATTCCGATTTTTACGCTCTTTTCAACAAATAAAAATAATGTACAAATGTTTACATGAAGAACGTCTGTGGACAATTTTTTGTCTCTCTGTAACGAAATCAAGAACGGCACAAGTACAAAGAGCGTTCATTACAAAAATCCACTTTCCCTTAAACCAACTTCGAAGAATCCAATATCGATGTGCGAATAGTTTTATGTATTGATTCATTACTTTTCATGTGCATGATCAAACACCACCGTAATTACTTTCCCTCGCCAATTTCCCACGTACATCAATATTGCACAACAACACAAAACAAGTCGCGATCAATTCGTGATTCGCAAATTGTACCTGAAACTCATCCACTGCCTGGTCATGATCTGTCCATTAGGATCTCCAAGTGCATAACAATCCAGTCAATGCCTTCGCCAAATTGTTAACGTAACATTAAAGACTGCTAAAAAAACTGCTGAAACGTGATTGATTTTCAATGTCCATTACAACATAATATAATCCCAAATTTGTTTGTTGGCTGTCTCACTTAACGCCAAGAAATAAGGTGTCTGTGTCCATGCCCAAATGAAGAAATGAGGGTGTGAATATGCAGTGGAGATGCTAATAAACCGATGACAAATATTGCAATCGAGATGGGCCGGTTTAGAAGGCTTATGTCAATTTGACAATTTAATACATTTTGTATCCCTTAAACCATAAAGTTTGGTATAATCCTTTGATTTTATGACGGGTCATAGAACCGGTGTGGTGCTGTGTTTTAAGCTCAAACATCTCAATAAATATGAAACACGATGACAAAGTACATTTGACAAAGTTGATATCACATCAACGGCAAAGTCATTGTTCTCCGTAAACGCTGAATTTCTTTCAATCACTTTTTCCATCTTAAACCAACACGCTGAAAAGTTGGTGTACACTTTCGTGTTCGGAAGATTGACATAAAACAAAGACATAGTCGGCTTTGTTCATTTGCAACTTATTTCAGCCGGATCATTGCATGTTCTGTTCTTTATTTTTCCCCGTCTAAAATAAAAGTTGGAAGCCGTTTATCCAACAGAGACAAAGTGATGCGAGTTATCTAATGCGAATTGTAAGTATGTTTTGCCTAAAAAAATGCTTTTCTAAAAATCCGGCTCCCCAGGCCATTGTTCTTGGGAAATGAAGAAGTTGCAACTTGCAAGTTGGCAACAGGAGGAAACTTTTGGCTATTATGGGATTTTTTCACAAACCTGTTTTACATCTTTGAATAAATTAATTGTCTGTGTTTGCAACAACCATGCAACCAAACAAACACCTTCTCGACAAGAATGAGTGAAATAACTCAAGCTGGTTTTAAATTGGTGGGGGAATGATGATGCATTATAATAATTTCTGCATGCTTATATGTAATTTTAACGTTTTTCCAAAACTCACCCTCTGAAATTTTCAGCATTATTATTATTATTATTAACGAAC